AAAAGGCTAAGGGAATGGCTCAGAGCCACCGAGCATGGTTTCCCTAGGCCACCTGCTGTGGCACAGTTGGGTGAAAGTAAGTAGATGGCACAAGCCCATGTTGGTCTAGTCATCCCCTGTTTATTATTTTAAAAGAATAGTGCCATCTACTTGCACCCAACTGCACCATTGCAGCAGGTAGCCAAGGGAAACCATGTAAAGCGTAGAGAAGGCCTGAGAAACAATTTGGGGTATCCAATACCTCGAATTCCTCTTATAGATCGCTACCGAAACAACTGAAGAACCAAAGAGACCCCACTGACCCCACTTGAAGATAGATCTGTTTGTCTTAAGCTTGGAGCCTCATGCATTGGCCGTGTTTTTTGACGGAGCTCTTAGGCCCCCGAACCTTGGCAAGTGGAGAATCTGGTCGGACTGGTTTGGGCTTGCGTGAAACCTCTCAAAATGGATGTGTTCCATGTGGTGTTCGATTTTGAACATAAGAAAAAACCAAACCACTTGTTCGTGTGGCTTGGTCATCTGCTAGATGCTGGAACCAACACAAACAAGCAAACAAACAAGCAAACCAAAAACCAAGCAAGCAAGCAAATGAGCGAGCAAGCAAGCAAGCAAGCAAGCAAGCAAGCAAGCAAGCAAGCAAGCAAGCAAGCAAACGAGCGAGAAAGCAAGCAAGCAAGCAAGCAAGCAAGCAAGCAACCAATCAAACAAACAAACAAACAAACAAACAAACAAACAAACGAACAAACAAACAACGAGCAAACAACGAGCAAGCAACGAGCAAACAACCAAACGAACGAACAAACAACAAGCAAGCAGACAAACAAACACACACACACACAGTCGAGCCAACCACTGGTGTTGCTTGGGGTTTTGCTCTGAGTTGCCCACCCTCGCAGTGCGATAACCACCGCGGCGGCCGATTCCTCGGCGAGCGCAGCCTGAGATGCGCGAAACGTGAAAGCAATTCGAAGGGGCACCCGTTTCGGCGTTGTCCTTCCTAATGTGGACCCCGGATTGATAAACCCCAGTTTATTAATATGGGGGTGTTCAAAAGTGATAAATCCCCACTAAAACCAAGGACACCCCCATATCAATAAACAGGGTTTATTAATCCTGGGCCATCATTTTTCTGAGACAAGCCCGTATGGAGATGAAGTACTCTCCCTCCCTCCAATCAACCGGAGGGTTTTGGAAGACGACCTTCCCTTTGAAGAATATGGGGATGGTGTGTTGGCATCAGACCCCAACGTCCCCGATTGCCTTGAACAAAGTGCGTGTATACCTATCTAGTCATATATATATATACATACATATATGGATGGGACATGGGGTCTGTGTTTTCTGAGGGTACCCTGTATAGGGTTGGATCTTTGAAAGCTTGTCACAAACGGCTTCCCAGCTCACAACCACCTCCAACGAATTATCTTCGGTTTGCTTTGTCCATTCGACGCCTTCTCCTTCCCGATCGCGCTCTCGGTGCAATGAGTCTGAGCTGATACTTGGTTGATCTTTCGACTTTGTACATCAAGATGAATCTACACAGCCCAATTCCCTTGCTGTGGTAAGTAAAGGAAATGATTAAACCACAATGAGGGAATCGTGCCATCAATTTGCACCCAAACGTACCTGATTTGCTTGATTTCTCGAGCAGCAAGAGCCTTGTTGGGGTGTCAAGATGCCTAAGTAAGCTTTGTCATCAGGATCCTGAATACTCAGAACTGCCTGGTGTGCAACTCGCTTCAATGTCATAGAAGTCCCATCATTCATTTCCTCATCCTTCATTTCGCTGATCTTCTTCAAAGCTCAGCGCCACATTGCGGCTGAAACCAAAGGCTCGCCCCACTTCCCAGGAGAGGCCCGAGATTGCGTTGAGAGACAAAGCCCCGATGCTCTTTGGAATTCCAAGACCACAAGTCGAATGCGATGCTCTGGGTCAGTTGCCTTTCGACGAAATGGCCATGGGTGAAAATCCTGTACCCGTGAACATCCCAATCCCCACCAAAGTAGACTAAAATGGGTGGTGCACCTGCCCCAAAATGGTACGGTTTTGACCCACAGCCAAATGACAGTAGGATATTCAGCATGCATGATCATCAAACTGTGTCAGCTGAATGCTAAGTACATGTCCATTGGTCTCTCCAACTGTGTGTGTGTGTGTCTCCCGGTTCCCTACGTGTCCCCAAAAGGGAAACTCAGTGACATGTTCGGAAACCCCCAAGCCAGCCCTTGCATACTCGATCCGTGGGGCTTTTAAACAGACCTCCCACTAAGATGGAACTCACCTAAGGGGTCACCCGAAGAGGAAAAGCACCTGGGCAAAAGAACATCAACCGCCCGAAAGGGCCACCGGAAAGTCCGGTGCAGACAAGGGAGGGTCTAAAGGTTCGCCTACCAAAATACCCCGACACGCCACACCCTGCTGAACAGGTCACATAATCTGCCTGGAATGATCGCATCGTTCGACTGCCATGGTTTGAGGTTTCCCGCAACAAATTACAGAAATCCGCTACGTCACTGGGATTCCCCTTCCAACAAAGGGGAATCCAGAATTAGGAAGTGTACCAACATGGTGATCAATTGACGGGTACCCCAATGACGGACCGAGCCGCTTTTGGGGGGTTTCCCACCAAGAGGTAACATCAAACGGCTGCTCCAAACACCCTGTCACAGGGCTAGAAATGTGGCAACCCTTGTGGTTTGCTCAGGTTGGCACTGTCCCCTTCAACTACCCGGCCCTTGAGTGTGCCTCATAATTAGAGTGGAGTTGTGTGTGTGTGGATGACATCACCTCAAAAACTTGTGAGTGATGTTCCCCTAGGGTGAAAGTAGCTTAACCTGTGGCTCCGGGGGAACCCCCCCCCCCCGCCGAGGCCCCGGCTGGCCAGCGCCACCGCCGCGCACGCCGCGGGGGCGCCGAGCCGCGCGCCGCGCGCAGCTCGCGGCGCGGGCGCTGCCCTGCGCGGTTCCGACCGCAGCCGGGTGGCCGGGCCTCAGGCCGGCTGGGCGGACGGAGGGGGAGGAGGACCCAAACCGAAAGCGAGAAAATAGCGATGTGGGTCCCAGTTACCTGGTCACCTCCGAAGAAAGAAAGGGAACAAAAGTTCTGGGCGACTTGCTGGTTCCCAGCTAACTTGCCTCTTCTGCCAAATGGTCCGCCTTTGTGGGAGAATGAAACTGACAATGTGAACTCTCAGATTTGAAAAGCAGAACGCTTGAATCTTGTCGGGTCGTTTTTCCAGCGGCATCTTCGGGCATTTGCACCCTACATGGTCATGAAAAGGAAGACAACACAAACGAAATTTTGAGAGCCTCCCATTTTAACTTTCATGGGCCCAAACTTCGTGGGTTGCCTTCATGCCTAGAACTGCGGCAAACCCGCGCGGTGACCCGCGAACGCCGTTTTTGCACGAGCGAGCGCCAGCCCAGCGAAACCCAAGCCATGGCCCAAGTAGATCCAAGTAGATCCAAGAAACCGAGCCAAGTACCACCTGAAGTGACCCATGTCATTGGAGCCAAATGCCGGATGAAAGTCAAGCTGGTGGATTTTTGTTTGGTGGTCCTTCCCCGTATGCAAAGGTTCCCAGGCTCACCTCGACACTGCACGCCGGCTACTGTTCAACGGAAGGTTTATGGATTCTCATTACCCAACACCGTGGTGAAGAATCAACAGGGCAGAAACTCACCGCATCTACTTCTGGCGGGAGACTGACCCGAATTCACCTTGATGGCCACCAGTTTGATAAGTCCGGTTTTTGAAATCGAATTGCGCAGCTCAAAATCAACCTGTTGCATTTCTGCCCAAAAGGAATTGGAGTTCCGGGATGCCAGCAGTATTCCCGCCTTCCGATCAGCTTCCATGATTGGAGGCTGTGGTGGATGCCCCAAATATTGCAAGCAGACCAACCACAAGCCATGGGATTGTTACGCCCAATACGTAGCGCATCCGCCACAGCAACACGAGTGTTGCGCAGGTCCGCCATTTTTCGCCGAGCACTGAGCGGAAGATGCGCGCGACGCGCTCCGGCCTGCACAAGGCGCAAAGGCACGACGCAAGGTCTGAGAGGTCAGATCGGGTTCAGAAAACGTCCAGTGACGGGTCCCGATAGACTGAGCTGTTCAACATGGAGTGGCCAATCTACTCGAAAATCACCTGGGGGCCTTTCATATAGCTTGAGCAGCTGTTGACCAATGCTGGCGCCACTGAAGCAGGCTTTGGGAACCGAACTGAACAAGCTGGGTGAATTGTAGCTTAGCCTGGAAGGAATCCTTGAAGGGATTGCTTGCCAAAACAGGTATGAAAGTTGATTCGGGACCCCCTGGTGGACCTCCTTTAGGTGAGGATTTGTGTCCACCAACCTTTACCCACATTGGGGTCCCCCATCAAAACTCGTGTTTTTGTTCTCCTGCTCTTCGCTTGCAACTGCCATGAAGCCCGTGCTGACTCCTCCAGTGGCCATGGGGTCTAAAGGAGTTTTCCTCCGGGTTTTACGAGGCAAAAACCTCTTCTCGCACAGCTCTCCCACTCGACCACTGGCGCGCGCGCGCGGTCCCGCGCGCGGTCCTGCGCGCGGAACCGCGCTTTTTCTTTTTCTCCACTGGCCGGTGCTTTCGCGGAGTGGAAGCTCTCCCGGCTGAGAGATGTAAAGGTAAGGCTTGTGCGGACTTGTGGAAATACGTCAGAAGCAACTCCATAGAATTCAAACAAAGCAGTCCGCGAGAGCTCCTGCAAGAAAGGCGGCGATCGCCTCTATGGTTTTGGTGGCCGCGGTTCGCCGAGCTCCCTCGAAATCGGCGTCGAATCCAAGCCATGCAAAACCCTTAAGCCTGCCCATTCAATATTGTCGGGCCCAGAACACGGAGCCAATTGAACCGTCGGGATGGTCCGCAACGTCCCCTAGTCACTAACAGTCACTATCTGGTGACATAGCTCCCCAGCTCTGAATCATCTAAACAGTTGTTCAAAGCACGAATCCAAACATGCTCATCCCGCAGCTGTGTAAGCGTCATCTTTCCAGCGGTCCCTTGGGGTTCATGGCCGGGTCGCTCAAATTTCGCGTTCAAAAGCGGCGACCGAAGCGACCGAAGGCTCTCACACCACGACCACCGTCTGGTCGAAGCGATGGATGTCGCGGCTCAGCCAGGCCCCCATGAACTCGCACGCCTTCTCCCGCGAGTCCGACTTCAGCACCTGGTCCATAGAACATCAATTTAGGTTACCCTCATACTTGATGATTTTGCTACTTCATTGATGGATTTTCCAGCTGGTTTCCCATCAGGTTGGTTTGAATTGAGTCACAATCAAAACCTGGTACAAAAATGGTCGACCCAGAACCATGTAAAGAACCAAGAAGGCGGCCGCAGCTATTTATGGTTGGGATCGTCCCTTACTAACCTTCACTTACCCCGATTTTGATTGTACCTCACCTGGTTCTTCTGGTGGCACTTGGGAGATCTTGAGGGTGGGTCTTGGGTCAATTCGGCAAAGGGCCGCCGTCCAAGTTTTGTTGGGTGAGGTTTGGGTTGACTTTCGGGGTTTCAAGGCCAAAGGGACTTCCATGGGAAGGGGAGTCTTTCCGACCAAACATCACTTCTGACAACGGGAACTCACCTGGCCGAAAAGGTCACTTTAAAAGGCGCAGGGGAAATGGTGGACCCGCGGCTTTGCAAAAATTCCAGCTGGGTTGCTCCACGAATTCCGCGCAGAAAACTGGGTCCCACGCAAACTTTGTTTCCCCTTTAAGAACCCCAAAAAAGGGTACCTTCAAAAAACGCCTCTCGCCCCAAACCGCCGAGCCCTTGAGGTTTGCTCGTCTTTGCGTTCAGGCAAATCGGGACACCACCCATCAGGGCTCCCGATTCGTTCCCCTACATTGATCTGCCAACAGGAAACTCGCCTAGAATACGTCCAAGCAGTGATGTTGAATTTGACTCAAAAGGGAAATCAAGAGACTCCTGCCAATCGCATCTTTGAGGGGGATATTTCAATGACACTGCGCTATCCTGGGATGTTTTGATGACCTCCGTGTCCATTTCCCTACTGCTGTTCTACCCTAAAACAGGCACGCAGCTGGCGTTTGCCCTGCATGGTCATTTTTCAAGGCCCCCTGACATCGTTTGACCTACCCTTACAGCCTTTCGCAAATACGCCCCTTTGTGGCTTCCCGGAGACGTGTCTGGAGTAAAATGCTCCAATCTTCTTTCAGCCCTACCCGAGCTGAGCACCATGGAAGTTCCTTGCCGTCAGGTAGGGTTACTTCCGTTGTAGCTCGGGTGACTGGGGTTGGTTCCCTTCTCGCCATAGTGACCCACCTGACATGAGCCAGAAACATCCACCCCGGAAGAAAACACTGTGCATAGGGCTGGGAGCAAAAAAACATCATAGATCCCGTCCCCTCTACGCGCAAAAACAGCAGGGTGTTTTTCCTTGCACCCCCGAAAAATTCCAAACTGCCGCCCCCCCCCAAGCCCCGAACAGCCGAGAAAACCGCCCACCTGAGATCCGCCTTGGGCCGCGGTCTGGAAGAGCAGCAACGAGCCCTGACGGCCGCAGGTCCGGAAGCGTTTAACCCCAAAGAAACCCAGAGAGGACCTCGGAACCCAAGTGGGTAAGGTAGGTGCACCACCCAGTTTAGTCGGGATTTTAGTGGGGATTGGGATGTTCACTGGGGGTACGATTTGGGTTTTGACCCATGGCCATTTGGGTATGGGTCGAAATAAAACCACAAGGAGATCGCAGGTCTTAGTCCATGTTTCCACTTACACAGGGTTCCATTTCGGGTACCTATTTTTGACCCCAGAACCCAAGAGGAGTGAGGCCGACGCAAGCCTAGACTTGATGATTACTAAAATGGTGCACCCGAAAAGAAAGTGCTTCTTCAGGCTCAAGAAGTGAGAAGCAAACACGAATTGGAATGTGTTTTCTCAACAGAGGGGATCCCCCGCCCCTTTTCAGGCCCCGATCGATTGAGGGTCTCTCGCTTGTGAAGGCTCGCTGGTAAAGATTGGGAAAATGCAGGCTTACCTTGTGACCGAAAAGGCCAAGCCAAAGCGTTCTAAACTGGTTCGCCAAAAGGTGGATCAAGATACTGAGTGAGCCCAGTTCCAGTTCGATGCTTTGCACTGGAAGCCACCCCTCAAACGTGTCTACGAGGCGTGGTTAAGAGGTTGGTGCTTCCTGTGTTTCCCCCAACGGACAAGGCAAACTTACCGTTTCGTACAGCCGTCTTCCCTGTGCGAAGGTGAACAAGTCCCCCATGTCCCCCCTAAACTGTAGCGTGCTGAAAACATGTTTGACCGAACCACCGATAGGATGGAACAACAAGTTCTTGCAGATTAACAGTGAACCCAAAAATAGCCGTCAGGTTGGAGGAAATTTTGAAAGGGGGGCCTTTTTGGGTTTGAGGTTAAGTTGTAGAGCAATACCACACGGGATCCAGGATGAGTGAAGACACCAATCTTCAAGGCTTGCCTCGCGAGACAGGACTACATGGATTGCCCCAAAACAGGACAACTTGGAAAATGGGTGGCTCCCTCTCCCAAACAGACACGCCCGAATCAATCTCCGAAAACTCGCTTGGGGCGTTGTGTCAGCCCCAGGCGCGACAAGGATGTATTTACCAAAGGAAAATCCAGTTGTTCAAATCGATCCTAAACAAGGTGGGTTGGAAAGGAATTGTTGAAGACGGAATGGCCATCTCAGCTGCCCAGTGGCCATGGACGAAAAAGGATCGGCATCCTTTTTGTTTGGGTTAAAAGGAATCGGAACCCTTCCAAACAAAACAAGTCGGAAAAAATAAATAAAAAGGTTTGGTTGGTTGAGTTTTACAGGGAACCCTTCCAAAAACAAATAAGAAGAAAAACAAATCCACAGGTTGCAACTGGCCCATGCCCATCAAAAACTCATCGCCTGCGTGGCGGAAGGCCAGGGTCGCTTGGGGTTCCCGGGGTTCCCAAAGGCGGCCAGGCGATACCAAGACCTCAGGTGCCAGGTGCGTCTTTTCCCCAGAAACTCGCTTTGGTTAGCTTGATGGAAAGCTCAAAGGAAAAAAATAACAAACATACTCTTGGGAGGGTTCAATTTGAATTGGGACCCATGGGTGGATATCAAATCTAGGTGGGGATTTATGTCTGCCGACCAGTGAGGAGGATATTCCTCATCAAAATCCATAGCCATTGCCAATGGGAGTTTTGGGGCGTTGTGAGCAGGACATCCTGTTTAAAGGGCCAAAAGACTCCCAGAACAACACGCCACGTTTAGAATGGTTGCATTTTTGAGGGATCTCAGAGATGACTTTTGGAGGGCTATGTTTGAGGATGTTCAACACTTAAATAGCAAGTAGTGTTTGCCCGCGTTACAAGCGGACTAACCTCAGTTACACCCAGCTACAGCCATGGATAGAGCCTATATACTCACTGAGTAGCTTGAATATTCAAGTAGACCTGGGGTGGGAGCCTTCTCACCCTATGTATGGCGTGGGCTTTTCTAGGCGTGTCCTGTCGGATTCCAAAAGTTGTGCAAGTGAATCACTCAATCACCTCCAACCAAGCACTTGTAGCTTTCAGACAATTACAGGGTTCCCCCTTTTCTCCTCCTTCTTAGAGTCTAATCCAATGCATCCTGGCCACCTCCCTTTGTCAGGGTTCTCGAACCTACACACACACTGCCAACCAAGAAGAACGGATCTCCAACACCTGGGCGAAGCTCTAGGGAGCTTTCATGGGTGAGCTCGTGTTACCCCACTTGTCGCCAAAAAATGGCCTTCCCAGAACTAGGTGCCTTTTTCGAGCACGGAATATGTCCCTGTCATGGCAACATGTTCCTTCACGAAAAAGGCGATCTTCAAACCGCGCGAGAAAGGAACTGAAGGGAGCTGCGTGAACTGAAGGGAGCCATGGTGTCCGCTCGCGGTGAACGTGTCCGCTGCTTCCTTTCAGCCTTGGTTGTTCCCTCCCCCGTCTGTGAACACCACATGCGGTGTAAGAGGCAACAGCACCTCCTCGGACAAAGACTCTTCGTCGCCCGTGGCGTCGGAAGGCAAATTCTTGAAGACCTCGACGGTTGTTTGATGTTCATCCCATTTACGGGGATTAACCCCAATCATCCCAGGTGTAACTGTGGCTTGGAGTCGGCTTCGCTCCAATCGGTGGTTTTCGAGTGGTGGTGTTCAAACCGCCAAACCAACAATCCACTAACTAAGGCTCACCTGATACGACTGATATAACTGATATAACCTACTTTGGAAGCGGATTGAACGTCCAAGTAGGTTGGCGAATCTGCGCGCCCTTTTTTGCGCGATAGCCATGGATGGGCCTGGTGCATGCCCCTCACTCACAGGAGTTGCATGCAGGTTTTGGGGTTCTTGGACCTGTTGGGCTTGACAACCCATCCAACGTGTGGGTTGTCCCTTGCCTTGGTTCAAAGAAAACTCCCCAGCAACGGTACGGATACCCTGAAAAATCACGGATCTTCAAAGGGAAGCTGAAGGGAGCTCACATGGTTTTAGGGCTCCCGTATTTGGATACAAATCCAATAGCTTGTGACAATGGGCCCTTTTCTGTGACACCGAAGCAGTTAATTTGAATCCCCCTGACGTTCTCACTTTACGGGGGCTCCCCTTCAGTCTCAGGACTTGACCAGCTTACAGGTTTACATTTCTGGCCTGTCTGTGATGCTTCAAACCGACCCCTGCAGAACGAGATTTTCGCACCAAGAGGGGGGTTGTATCTCAACAAGAAGACAAACAGCACTTGGAGCCAACTTCAGGGTCCCTTAGAGCCCAGCTGACTCTTTAAAACAAAACTGTATGCGGCATGAAAATGCCCAGCCTGCCCCGCAATCAAAGATGCCAACACGGACAGTCACCAAGCACAAGCTGGCGCGCCAAAAACGGCGACTCCCAGAAACCGACTCCCAGAAACCGATCGAATGGTTGAGCTTTGGAATTCAGAAGCCACACGTGACAGGCAGGCACGAAACAGCCAGGCGAAAAAGGAAAAAACAACGGGGACCGCCCTCCGAATTCGGCTCAATCAAGGCGCGAAGGGGAGCTCATCAGAGTGCTGCACCACTGGGGTGCGGCTGTCGGAGAAGTTGAACCTACCCCGCGGGCTTTTTGGTGCCTCTTTGATTGGAAGCGGAGCTGGGGGATCAGGCTTCTGGGGGATCATCAACACTTCCCCAGGAACCAAACGAAAATTTTCATATATATATATATATATCCATATGTATATATAGATATTAAAAAGGTAGGTCCCTGGGGAGGGGGTAACATATATATATATATATATTCAGATGCGTGTAAATGTCGATGACGTTTCGTAGGGAGCCACACGTCCGCAGGCGCGGCGTAAGCAAGGATCACCCCTAAAAGTCCAATCAAGCCAGCTCACCCAGTAGCCTCAGCTAGTTTGATGAGTGATGTAATACAAAGAGGTAGCAAAGCAAGACTTTCCAGCTCAGCTATACCCTGAGCCTGGTCAGACTCCAAAGGAAAACACCCTTGAATACATCCAGTTGGTAGAAGTACTAGCTCAAAAGCCATGAATCTACAAACTGGCATGTTTACATCGGTTCCGGCCGCTAAACAAAGAATCACCAATGTATCGTTAGCTGTTGAAAAACAATTGGGGCTGCTTTCAATAGGTCTTCTGGGCCCATCCAAGTGGCGTCCTCTGTACTTCCTTTCAAAAGGTGGTTCAATGATATTTGCCAGACAGCCAACATCACTTCCAACCACGAAACCCAAACAAAGTGCGGCACATTGAAAGATATGTTGCTTGTTGCCCACTTGCTTTGCTTTAACATGCACCCCCCCCCGGGTCCAAGGTTACTTGGATGCCCCCTGCATGCGGCATGTAAACTGGTGCTTTTACAGTTCGGGGTTCTTTAAACCAATCTGAAAAGGTCCTCCTCCTCCAAAAAAAAAAAGCACACACCCATATTCTGGCCTCTTTGGGGCGTTTTTCGGTGGTCATCAAGTGAGCCAGCAGCAAAAACCACGAGCGAACCCGGGGCGAGCCCGCGAGCCCGGGGCCCGCGCAGGTATTGGAACACCGGCTGCTGGAGCCCCTTCGCAGCCTGCCACGCGCGGCAGGCGCCAGGGGGCGCGGCGCCAGGGCTTGGCGCTTGGATCCCCCACAGAAAATGGGACACAGACGCGGGGGAAAAGAAAAAGAAACGTCGACCCCGCTCGAAACAGACACGGGGGAAAAAAGAAGAAGAAAAGAAGCGTGACCCCGCTCGAAACCTCAGCTTCTGGGAGAACAAAGGTGAGCTTGCTTGTGGGGTGTTCCAAAAGAAGCCACTTGCCTCATAGAAAGCGGCCTCGAAGCCCAAATCTCCGCTGACGTGTCCACATCCTTTTTCGTACCCCCAATCACAATGAAGCCGACAGTTGCGTTTTCTTTCCGGCCTGAAAAAGGATCACAAACTGCTACCACCCCAAAAGCACTCGTGCGATGTCCATGTTGGTCTCAGCTGTTGGTATCCAAAGCCTCTGGGAGGGCTGTGAGGCTGTTGAGTTTCCACCTCCGAAAAGTAGCACAGGCAAGTGGGAAGGAACCCCCAGCCTGAAAGGCTCCCTCGTGGAAAAACTGGCAAATTTGGCTACCAGCTCCTTAGCTCCCTTCCACCAGCTGGGTGTTCGCGTTTTATGGGTGGTTGACTTGCCATGCTTAGGGAATCAACCCTGTGGGAGTCCTTTTGCGGGCCCCCTCGTTGACTTACTTCAATTTGGAGTCCCAAGCGTGTGCTGTTATATGCTGTTATTGACTGCAATCTGTTTTGGAGCATGTGTGGTTCATCTGTGCAGGAAGACAATCCACGCCCTGACTGGCCCCGCACAATCCAACAAACCCTCCCAAACAAATATGGGGTAGGAGGTCAAACCCTGACCAGCAAAGGAGATGCTTGCCTTTGAAAACTCGGTTGTTCAAACAAAACAGGTGTTGGGGGAAGTATGCAAAACTGCCCAGAAACACTTGCCACCTGCCAAACAGCTTGCCAGGCCGTTGCAACTCAAAACTGGTTTGATGAATCCAAATATCACCAACACTTCCAACACAACAAGACCAAGGCCGTGAAACCCGAAACTCTGGTCAAGTTGCACACTGGAAATGCTCAAACATGTTCTTCAGCGTCAAATTATGATATCAGATTTGAAGAGCAAGCACCTGCTTAGCTGCTTGGACCCGTTGAACGGCTCACAAATGGCCAGGATGCATACATTGCCCGAGCGCTCTGAACCTGTCTTTTGGAAGTTCTTGTCCGAACTGTCCGTCTTTCGAGGGGGGCCCGAAGCTGAGAGAGTTCCAGTTCGCTCCCTGCCATTTGGCTAACCAAAAGGTGTCGCTCTCGGGAACCCTGTAAATCGCCCCGGTCCAGTTTGACACATCTAACATGAATGGTATCTCCTCCAACACGAATAACACCTTCCAAGGAACCTAAAAGAGGGCGCGACGTGGGTTACCCCCTCTCAAGAAAATCCGAGCCCGCCTTGGGCTGCTTTCAAGGCAAACTACAGGACGCAAAGGCGTGGGGCAACACATGAAAAGGGTCACAGTTGTAAATGGGGGGCGCTCCAAGCTATAGCCATCTTGCCCACCATCCCAGTACGAAACATCGCCCAGCTCCCAAGCCACGAGATCCACACCCTCCGCACGCCACGCATGGAGCACGCCTCCAGCGTGGAGCAAAAGAAGTTCTGATCCGTCACCGCCCGGTCGTAGGCCCACCACCCGTCGCTGCGCGCCGCCATGCGCGGGTGGGAGGCCTCGCAACGAATTTCCAGCGCCGGTGGCGGCAAGTTGGCACCAAGTGAACGCGGAGAAACCTAAAAGCAGACAAAACAAAAAAGCGAAACACGTCAAACCTGATACACACACACACAGACACGCAGACACGCAGACACACAACAAACACAAAGCACGAAGAAACAACATTGAAAGCACGCGATTGTTCCAAAAAGAAATCGCTTACAAAATAGCTGTTGCCTTGCTTGGGGCCCCAAGTGTGAGCGCGTTGTGGCAGACGGGCGGAGACGAAAGGTGCAAGTGCTGACAACCCCTTCTTCCATTTGCTTGCAGCGCCAAGCAATAACATATGGGTGTACATTTCAATTGGGAACCCCCTTGGGTGCACATCATTTTATGTGGGGTTTGTGCAATCGCTCTCCCGGTTGGGCATTCCAACCGTCAAAATTCACAGCCACCTTTTGTCAGTCATGACTCTAAACGGTTGATATCCCATTCTTTTGAACCATCGTTCTTTTCAAAAACCAGCCGTTTTCCCTGGATTTTGGAGGTTTGGCAGCAAGATTCGGATCCCTAGAAAGAATGGAAATGGAAGGTACCCCTAGAATGACCATTTCCCTTTGGACCCGGCGAAGAAACTTCAGATGGGCGTCGGATGCGGCTGCAGGGGACCGAGATCGGGCGCAAACGACGGGAAAAAAAGGGGCCCTTTTCAACTCAACTGATCAAAGGAACAAATGAAGAAAGGTCCCCATACTCTTGGGACCTTGCCCCAAAATGGGAAACTGGGAAACCCAACGGTTTCGGACGTAAATGCGTGGAACTGGCCTTTGTCAGTTTTGCAGCAGCTGATGGTATCCGTTGAAGGAATTCAAGAGCCCCGTTCAAGGGCCCTTCCAATGCTGAAAAGGTAAACAGTTCCTGCGGGCAAGCCCCTGCGGTAAAAGAATCTTCAAATGGGCCTTTTAACAATAACTGGGGGGGGAGGTATTGAACAACATTCGCCCGAACCACGCGTTGCAGAAAACCTGGGTAGATAACCACTAGCCACTAACCACCAGCCACTGTACAAATCATTTGGACGGTTAGCAATCAGGTGTCAATGTGAGTATGTCTCAAGGGGGAGCCCAATCAATGCATTTGGAGTAATTTCCACTAGAAAGCAAGTGTGCTGGGGAGGCCCAACCCATTTTGAGGCAATCAAAATGCCCGCAAAGCCTAATCAATTAGAACCGACTAGAACGGGTTGGGGGAAGCTGCAAAACCGAGTTCACTGATCACCATGGGAGGCCGCTCATCTCAAGCCCCTCACATCAATCAAATAGAAACCAGCTAGGTTTCACCCTCGCTTTTTCTTCTACTCTTTCATTGAAAGTGCATTGCTGCAGTACTGCGGCGTTTCTATTTTATATATATATATATAGTTTTTTGTTTTTTTTTAAAAGGCGTTGGGGCTTGGCATTGTGCAAGCCGACCGACCCCCTAAAAAACAAAAAATCCCCCCCCCCCCCCCCCGGCCCGGCCCGCTGAAACCAGCCAGCCCCCGCCCGAGCCCAGGCGCGTTGAGGTAGACCTCCGCGGCGGCCGCTGAGCCGTACTGGGCGTGTGGCGAGGGCGTGGGGCGATGAGGGCGTGGGGCGAGCCAACACCTGGTTTAACATTGGGAGGGGGGGGGTCAAAAAAACTGGGGAGGGGGAGGGGGGGGTCAAAAAACAAGTGGGGGGGGTCCAAAAAAAGCGAGCCCTTAGTTTGACATGGGCAAATCAAAAACTCCAATTTGAACAACCCCTTTGGAGCTCCCTTTAAAGGGAGACCATGCTTTGGTTGTTTAAACAGGTTTTGCCTGACTCTGGATCGTTGCTCGAATCTGTGCGTCTGTTCCCCTTTATGTAGTCTTGTTGCTGATTGCTATGACTTGGTGGAACTCCGACACTTCTACAGGCGTGTGGTTCTTAGTTCCTCAACTTTTGCTTGCTCTCGCAAACATCCACAGGTATGCGTGGTTCCACCCTTCTCGTCTTGTTGTTCTTCCTGGATGGTATTGTTGCTACGTTGGTTCTTCATGGGGGGCCTGGGTCAAGGCTGGCAACTTGGGGTTAAATAAGAACACCTCCATGGTACCCCATGGGATGCATGGAGCTTTGCCCACTTGGATCAAACCCCCTGGTTCATAACCAGGTTTGAATGGGGACCACAAAATTCCATCGTAAGATCGCCTGTGGTTTGAACAGCCCCCCCACCAGTCCTTGAATGTTCAACCCTTGCGTCTCCTTCATCACAACAACCCTATCCTCTATACTTCTTTGGTCGGCCAGCCACATTTTTGCATAGCTTCGCCTTCGCTTCGTACCCTGTTCCAAAAAGAATGCCACGCGCCGTCAGGTCCTGCTTGGCGAACATGGCTTTGAAGTCGGACTCCGTTTGGTTGTAATCCAAGGACCAGCTGGCGCCGTCGTCCATGTTGGTGCCGATCACCGTGGGCACTCGATTCACCTCGCAGGAGAGGAGAGATGTAGAAAACCAAACGGAAAGAGGTGGGTGTGCGCTTCAAAAAACAAATGTGATGTGGATATGGAGCCAAAATGGGATCTGGAATCCAACTGCGCTTTGGCTTCCATTTGGTGAACACTTCCACACAACACCAAAAGGGTTTTGAAATCAAAAAGACACTCGAAATCCCCTTCTGGGGTCAGTTCCCTGATCGGCTGGGCGTGCGCTTTGACTTGGATTTCACCCCTCCTTTTCAACCTGCAACGGTTTGTGGGGGCTGTTTGAAAGGGAAAGCGAGGGAAAACTCGCACGCGGGTTCGTCTATGGCATTGGCGGTCCCTCCGCCTAACTTGAGACAAAATCCCAAATGCGCATCGCCCAAAACCTGTTGACTTTTGGGTCTACTAACAGGCTTTTGGGCGCCTCTCAACTTCCAGTCGCCCAGCAACAATAATACCATATTGATAGGTTCCCCATTGGACCCAAAGAGAAAATGACCTGTATGTACATATGTGTATATGTATATATACCCACATATATATATATATATATATATGTATATATATATATGTATATGCTACCCCCCCCCCCCCCGGGACCCCCCCGGAACCCGCCCCCCAGGACCCACGCACTTGCTGTGTATATATATATATATATATATATACATTATATATATATATATGCTCACACCCCACCCATGATCCACTGTTCCGCCTTTGCACATCTTTTCCTCCTTTGCAAATCCACTCCAAAGCTACCATAGCTTTGCACTTTTCAAATCTGCTCCACTACTGTCCATTACCTTTCCACGTGCTTGCCAAACTGCAATTAACTTTGATCGAAATCCTGGTTGGAAAGGATTTCCTACTTAAATGAGCAATCAACATAAACAGTCAAATTCCATTTACACAGTAATTATCTTTGACAAATGTGCGATTTGGAAAGTACTTTCTACTTTAATCCTCAATTAGCAATTCTAATTGGATGCTGATCTACATCTTGTTTAAGAGAGATTTAGATTTACATTCTAGTTGATACAGCAAACATATCTGAATTATTCCCTTGCTAACTTCTATTCATGGACAAGACGCTTTACTTAGTTTCTAACTGAAGATAGCAGTCTAATGGAAGTCGTGCCCTATCAAATTCCATGCAAGTTCTGCTACTTAATGATGGTTTCACATCACATATGGAAAGGACTTCTCCTTTCCATTCCCGTTCAACATAGAAATCCTACTAGACGGTCTTCCTTTGAACACTGATAGAACCTCAATTGGCCTCAATTGGAGTCCAATGTGGCATCAGGAGCCTTATAAGGAGTTTTGAAGGGAAGCTTTTTACAGAGCTTTAACCGGAGCTGCACAAGGAGCCCCATAAGCAGCTTTTCAAGGAGTATAAGGAGCTTTATAAGAACTTTAAGCTATGCATTATAAGCTGTATACGGAGCTTATATGCAGCTTTGCAATGACCCTTACAAACGGCTTTATCATGAGCCTTAGAATCAGCGGTACAAGCATCTGTGCAAGGAATGGTACAAGGAGCCTTTAAGCAGCCCAAAACAGAGCTTTATGATGAGTCGTGTCAGGAGCTTTAATTGAAGCTTCATTCAAACAGTCTTATAAGCAGCCAGGTGAGCTTCAAAAGGAGCTTTGCAAGCAGCTTTATAATGCGATCCTTTTATGGAGCCGTGACATAGAAGAGCTGCATACGGAGCTTCAAAAGAAGTCCTACAAGCAGCTTCACAGGAACTTTATGAGGAGTTTTATACAGAGCCTTGTACAATGAGCCTTTTCACGAGCGTGAAAAGGAGCTGGACCAGGAGCCTTCTTTAAGGAGCCTTCAAAAGAGCTGCATCAGGAGCTTGAAAGGGAGTGTTGAATTCTAATTTAACATTGAACACCTGGTTCACTGGTCACACCCGTTCACTGTGGCTCCAAGCTGGCTTGATCATGGCAGTACCAAACCTGCCCAAATTCTGGATATGCCAAGAAACACAACTCGAGAAGCAACAAAACACAACCCAGAGGAGAAGTGTTGGTTTTTACCAAATGGGTTTGGTCTTGGTGGTTTTTGCCCGTGTTCTGTTGTTTGGTTTTCCCTGAGTTTTGTTGGGTTGTTCAGATCTATCCCTGCAAACAAAACATATCTGGGTTCTCATGAAGAAGGCCCCAAACCAGAAAAACCAGAAACACCGAAAAAACCCAGGGCACTCATGAAGAAGGGCCCCAAACTGGAAAAAACAAGGAAAAAGAAGAAGAAAAGAAACTAGCAAAAAACAGGGTCCTCATGAAGAAGGGCCCCAAGCCAAAAAGAACAGAAAACTAGAAAAACAGAAAACCCGAAAAATCAGAAAACCTAAAAAAAAGTCTAGGAAATAGATGATGGAGGTCACCCTTCTTCTGGAGGACCCTGGTGTTTTTTGTTTTTTCTGGTTTTTCTGGTTTGGGGCCCTTCTTCATGAGGCCCCTGTTTTGCTGCTTTTCCTGTTTTTGTTCCTGGTTTTTAAGGTTTTTTCTGGTTTGGTGCCCTTCTACCAGAAGATCTTGGTTTCTTTCCTCTTTCATAGGACCTTGGTTTTTCCTCTTGCAGAAGACAACGTGTTTCTTCGATTTGCCCTGTTTTTGAGCTTTTTTTGGCTTGGGGAGGCGGGGGGTTCGGGAGGGGGGGACCATATATATATATATATATATATATATATACATATATATATATATGATATATATATGTATATATATATAGGGATATATGATATATATATAGGTATATATCCATATAATTATATATATATGTATACATATATAAATATATGTCCATGTTAAGCCAAAGTGATAAGTCCATGGGTGGGAAACCCCCCGAGTTGCCTGTCCCATCCGATCCCGGCGGGCGAGCCTTTCCGGCTTTGGCCAAGTCCAGCGGGTGCTGCGCGAGCTCCACGCCGTCCACCGTGGGGGCCCAGGGGATGAAGGCGTTGCCCATGAGGTCCTCGCAACACCTGCCGGCCGCGTGTGGCGTGGCAACCACCCGTGCGCGCCCGGCCCACCCGAACCACACCCCCGAACACAGGCAACCCCCCGAACCACCCCCCTCCCAAAAAGAAAAGAACAGGATTTGTGGGTGGTGTTGTTTTCTTTTGTTTTTCTCGGGGAAACGAGGAGAATGGAAAAAGCATGCAACCAATTGGACAGGCTGGGTTGTGGACAGAAGTGGTCTCCTTTGAAACTTTCTCAAGACCAACCCCAGAAAGGTAGCGTACAAAAGGCATCCCCAAGTACTCTTTTGGTGCTCACTCACTAAGCGGCATCAGCTGCTGAAAAAAAAAAACAAAAAACGATCCAATGACACTAGCACAAGGGAGCCAGCCCTGCAGTTCAATTTGCGAAAGCATTCCAAGGACTTGCCAGTACCACTGGCCCCTGCCAGCCTCAAACCTCCGTTGAGAATAAGATGGCTGGCGTACTGAAGGTGGGTGAACGATTCTGGCCCTTTCCCATGTGAACCGGGTGGAATCAACTCTAGGTCCTCCAGCAGAGAGGTTAGAATAGGGGCACCAACTGGTGTTTTTTTCCTGTCGACTGTTTTAGTAGGGTCCCAAGCCCTCCCCCAAAAAGAATGGGCACTACTGGGGGGCCTAGAACTGAAAAGAAGCCCAGCTCCCCCCGCTCCCCCGCGCCTGCCGTGGGGGATCTGCAGATAGGCCGCCCTGAGCTGGTCCGCCGGCAGCGCCAACAGGCATGCCACGTCCGGACACCTCAAGAGGCCGGAACGTGCCCCTTGGAAAAGTGGGCAATCCAGAAATCCCTTTTTTTGGTTGCTGTTGACCCCTCTGCAAAAAGTGTGTTTGTTGTTTGTTTTTTGTTTGTTTTTTTGTTTAAAAAACAAAAAACAACGTTTGTGGGTTTAGCAAAAGTGATGCTTGAGGCAACGCTTAAAACATGGTCTGAACTCTCAGCGCAGCACACAATCACAGCACATGCACTTCTGAGCAAGCTTATCAAGAAATCCCAGAGAAGTCCGGAAATCATTGAAGGGGGAGAATCCTTCGGGAAGTCAGGAAATCCCGACGCCTCAGTTCAACCGTTCTGGAACAAGCCCCTGGAAACCAGACTATGAGCAGAGGTCAGGTCATCAGGCGTGAGATCGGGGTGGGGGGCTGGCGGCCAAATTCAAGCGGTTCGAGCCCTCCAAGAGACCCTAGCCCTGAAAATGGAAGTTCAATTGATTGAAAAGTTGCTCTTGGGCTCTGGAAGTAAAACACAGAAACCAAGAGCAGGAAAGAAGGCATGAGGCATGTGAGATCAAAACAAGCACAGCACCCGAAAAATTCTCCCACTTTGGGTTGTCTTCAACTCGGTAATTTCAGCAGCTTCCTGCGTCCGTCTACAACAACCACGGGCTCGAATCCACAAACCCCCAAATCCAACCCAGCAACTAAGGGTTGCCGGATAGTTGGTTGGCTTTAAAGGGAACCCCGAACAAAGTGAAGAAAAGGGGCGCCACTGTCGCCCTGTTCCTTTCCACTTTTGCTTCTCTTTCCTACAACAGCTGCACATGGACACTTTGAGGCCATTGTGCAGCGTCAAACCCAAGGAAAATAATAACCCCGAAACATCCTCAAGCATCCTCAAACATCCGACAGCCTCGAGCATCTTCAAATACTCTCAAACATCTCTCTCCAACCCTCTCAAACCCTCCGCTCTAGGCTCCCCGCCCTGTCTGGTTCAGCAGCTTTGAGTACCATTGCTCGCTGAGTTTCATTGGCTGCCTGCGCTCGAAACGAACACGAAGCGGCTTGGAATTCCAATGCGCCCCAAACCACGCACCTACAACAACAACAAAAAACGGGACCAAATCCTACCCAGTGAAAAACCTGGGAATTCTCACCACATGGAATTCCTATTGGTTTTTCATTGCTTTGGGCTGGGCGCTGCTCGGTTTATAAGCTCAGCTGCGCGCTCCAGCCGGAGAAGCCCCCCGACTCCATGAGCGCCGAGGAGAACAAGTCTTGCGAGGCGGGCATGGCCAAATGCATCGACACCTCGAATCCCAAAAGCCACCGCTCCAGCGCGAGCGATGATTTTCGGTTCGGGGGCGGCATAGTGTCTTTTGCTGAGTTCATAACCTCGTTTTGGGTTTCATTTTCATGGGGATCAACGAAAATCAGCCATTCCCAGTTTTGGGTGGTTTTTGCCCTTGGTCCCAGTTACCAACTCCAAAAGGGCTACCAAAAAGACATACCAAAGGTTGGGCAGTCTTTCCCCTCGGTTTCCCCGGCACCCCAACGACATAACAAAGATTGGGCAGTTGTTTTTCTTGGTTTCCCTGACCAACCCCAAAGAGGGTACCCTGCCCCCTCCCCCCCTCCCGGAGAAAAAAAAGAAAGAAGAAAAACATCAGTAGCCAAGCCGAAAGCAGATGACACGTTCCCCCGGGTGATGAAAAGGATGGCTCAACCTAAGTGACAAAATGCCATATGGCTGTGGGTCAAAACCAATGGTGCCATTTTGGGCTGGGTTTAGAACCTGTTTTAGTGGGGATTTGGATGTTCACTGGTATGGGTTTTTGACCCATGGCCATATACTTTCACCCAACCACATCATGGGCTTGCATTCCTTTCGAACAGCGTACCCGTTGCAAACGGCGCAGTCGCCTATTCAGGGGAAGACGATGGATAACGGGGTTACTTGAGTTACTTGAATCATCACTTCTTCGGACATCATGGGGGGGGAACCTCCCCCAACCCACCCGCTACTGTTTAGATTGTCTGCAGAGTAATTTGCACCCCTATTTGAATCAACTCTTCTTCAAACATCATGGGGGGGGGGTTGCCGCCTCCCCCCCCCCCGTTACTTTTTAGATTTCTTGCAGAGATTGAATTGCACCCCTGTTTGAATCATCACTTTTTCGAGCGTCCAATTTCGCGAGAAAATGCAGCAAAATACGACATTTTAGGTAATCTGTGTAATCCATGTATGTCTGTATGTATGCATTTCTTCGAACATCATAGGGGAAGCCACCCCCGCCAACCCTCCCGCTGCCTTTTAAATTCTATCGCACCCTTTCTTGAATCATTGCACCCCTACTTGAATCATCACTTCTTCCGACATCATGGGGGGGGCTCAATCCGCTTGGTCATATCCATGGTAAGCAAACTACCGTCACTTAACCCCGCTATATGGTTAGAACCGACTTACCTGACTACCCCGACTTTGGCTTTGCCGTTGGCTGGCCCAGTAGGTTCCCCTTTGATTCCCTTTAAAGTCACCCCTCAATTACCTACCAAAGGCCAGGCCCCAGTTCAGATAAAATCCCCTCAACCGACCAATTCACATAATATGTTTTCATCATTTCATAACAGAACCTCAACTCAAGATTTGATACATAAATTTTACAAATATTTTTCTAAATTTTCAAAAATATATTTTTCCAAAATCCCAAATTCCCAAAATATATTTTTCCAAAATCCTAAAATATAAAATCCCCTCAACCGACCAATTCACATAATATTTTTTCATCAATTCATAACAGAACCTCAACTCAAGATTTGATACATAAATTTTGTAAATATTTTTCTAAAATCCCAAAATATAATTTCCCAAAATCCCAAATTCCCAAAATATATTTTCCCAAAATCCCAAATCCCAAAATCCCCATAATTTCAAAACATAAATCTTACAATGTTTTTTATTGTAAGGTTTATGGTGTAATTTCAATTCATATTGTTTCAATATCAACAGGTGCTTCTTCAATAATAGTCGGTGTTTCCTTTTGCTTCTGATTGTTATTATGCTTCTGAGTTTTTTTATGTTCCGACCATCTACATTTTTTAACTTTGCACTGACAAATATCACAAAATACTTCAATTTGATTATAGACTTTGCTGTATTCTTTCATTCTGGCATTTATTTCTTCCTTATGTGCTTCACGGTATTTTTTGCTTTGCTGATGTTTTTGTTCCTTATTCTTCTGGTGTTTTTCCCTTTCCTTTTCCAAGCACCTTATACAATATTTATTTATTCCGTTGAATTCTTCAACTGGTTTAGTTGCATTACATCTTTTGCAATACTGCTTCTCCATAATTTACTAAGGTAATTTACCTTTAAACCTGTATCATACCCTAAATCCCAAAATCCCAAAATATAAAATCCCCATAATTTTCAAACATAAATCTTACAATAAAATTAAATTGTAAGGTTTATGGGTTAATTTACTAGTCATAAACCCTGCCCACCATTTTCGGGGCACCCTGCCCACCATTTCGGCCAGCCTGGCCGCCTGACCGCCACTTTTCGGCCAGCCTGGCCGCCTGACCGCCACTTTTCGGCCAGCCTGGCCGCCTGACCGCCACTTTTCGGCCAGCCTGGCCGCCTGACCGCCACTTTTCGGCCAGCCTGGCCGCCTGACCGCCACTTTTCGGCCACCCTGACCGCCACTTTTCGGCCAGCCTGACCGCCACTTTTCGGCCAGCCTGACCGCCACTTTTCGGCCGCCCTGACCGCCACTTTTCGGCCACCCTGACCGCCACTTTTCGGCCAGCCTGACCGCCACTTTTCGGCCAGCCTGACCGCCACTTTTCGGCCAGCCTGACCGCCATTTTGCGGGCATCATTAAATCCAAGCGACTTTGCTATGGTTCCTACACTTCCAGTTCCACTAAATAATTCTAATAAATTCATGTTTATTAGAATGATTTAGATAATGTTTTAGAAATATACATATTTATCATCTTCCTTACTAATCTTATAGTATTCTAATGTTTGTTCTTTTGGACTTTTGATTTGTCCCTTATTTAACATATCACAATATTTTTTACGCTTCGTGTCATAATCACCGCTGGGTCTGCCTATCCCTTTCTTTTCAAAGATTTTGTCAATCTTTTCCTTCTCTTCATTGCTATCTTTTGGTTCGTTGGCCTTTGCATCAAGTTTCTGGTCAATAGTTTTTATCATCTCGTACAACAGTTTAACATTTTTACTAACTGTCATTATTTTCTTTGATAGTTCAGAAATAGAATCATTCTCAACTTCAGACATTTCTATATATATTTATTTATATAATTATTTATTTAAATATTTAATTATAAAATTGATTTAATGTAAAATCTACTCTTTAAATACTAATTTTTCATCATTTGTTTAACAGTTTCATGAGTTTCCTTATCGCCACTATCGGATGGTGATGCTTGCCGACCCCATTTAAAAGTTATATTATGAACATCTGTTTCTAAGTTTATACTGTCTCTAGTTTTATCAATATTCATTTTCTTATCATTCTTACTTATTTTGAAACTGGCTGGAATACACGAACATTTACAAGTTCCTTTCTTTTGTATTTCTAATTCATTTTTCATTTCTAAGATTTTTTTACACATTGGACAAGCAAACTCAAAAACTGATGTTTCTCTAACAATTTCTTCTTTTTCTTCATCAGTTGAAGAAACAACTGATTCTGTCTTATTCTTTTTCTTTCTCCCCATCTATATTAATATTTATATTTTTAATATATTGTATCACAAACTTAATTAATTCTAAAACAAAATAGCATACTTTCTTAAATCTATTATTAGTTATAACAACCCGTTCTATATTTTCTACTTCATTTATTAGAGTAATGTAATCTGAAAAACTTTTTTTCATATTAAATAATAAGATAAATTATTTTAATTAATCTTATTATATTCATGCATAATAGAATATTGGTGGGGCACAGCACTTGGGGTTTTCATTGCACATGCGAGCAAGACACAAAAACTAATTATCTTCAATGCTTATTGATTGAAGTTGATGAAAGAACATCGTCTACTATGATGGACACCATTCATATGATAGCAATCTTCCCTACAATAAATAATATTAAATTATTTTCTAAATATCTTTAATATTTATGATCGATATTAAGCCATATAAAACTAAAGAATATAACAATAAGCAATCTCGACATGATCATGTAGGTAAGCTACCAGCAAGACAGATATTCGCAGCTCCATCTGGCGTTGGTAAAACAGTTACACTAACTAATTTAATATTAAATGTTTATCGTGATTGTTTTGAAAAAATATTTATTTTTAGTCCGACAATACATTTAGATAATAACTGGGACACAGTAAAAGATTATATATCAAACAAATTAAAAATAAATCATACTGAAGACGATCCCGTATATTTTGATACATTTGATGAGGAACAAATGAAAAATATTATTGATACTCAAGAAAAAATAGTAAAATATATGAAAGATAAAGATTTTTCAAAAATTTATAATATTGCTATAATAATAGATGATTTTAGTGATAACAAAGATGTTGCACGGAAAAATAAAGAACTCGTAAGATTGTTTGTAAAAGGTAGACACTATTTTATATCAACATTTATAACGTGTCAATCTTACACATTATTGAATCCGGTAGTTAGAAAAAATGCAACACAATTATATGTATATAGATTAAGGAATCAAAAAGATCTAGATTCTATAATAGATGAACTTAGCGCTTTATATGATAAACAAACATTATTACAATTGTATCGCACGGCTACCGATGAAAAACATAGTTTCATGTTTATCAATATGATGGAATCTGATAAAGAAAAAATGTTTTATAAAAATTTAAATCAACGTATGGTACCCAACTAATAATATTAAATAATTAAATAATTAAATATATATTAATATTATATGATATTTTATGATTTACCAATAGAAATTAAAAACCATGTATTATCTTATATCTTAAATGATGTTAGATTATTAAAAATAAAAAATAGTAATATTGTTAAAAATTATATTAATAAATTTAAACCAGTATATAAATCTTACACATTAAATAACATACATTATTTTGAAATTGATAATATTAATATTAATAATGGATTATCATATATTTTTAATTTAACTGAGTTAGATAAATTACATCAAAAAAATAAACCATTGAAAATATTAATTGGATATGATATATTGGTTACATCTAGTTCATTTAAACGTTGGTTTCATGTTTGTAATCGAACTTTACTATCAATTAATTTATTTAGTATTTATTATTTTC